GGAAGCCTGACAAAGGAGCTTAGCTCAGTAGTGCACTGCTTGCTTAAAATATGAGGTCCTGGTTTTTTGTTTTGTTTTGGTTTTTTTTTGGTAGTGGGGATCGAACTCGGGTCCTTGCACTTGCGTGGCAGGCGCTGGAACCACAGAGCTAAATCCCCGGCCCTAGGTCCTGGTTTTGATTGGGGGGAAGAGATGTAACTCCCAAACCTACTAGATATCAGAAATGAGAGTTTGTGTTCTCTAAAATGGAAGAATGAATTCTAGGAACAGTGGAGGTTAAGAGTAGGAAAAATTTATTGGGAGAAAGCAAGCTTCTGCCTAAGAGAGACAGAAGGGGGCCTAGAAAGTGGGTTGCCCGGCTACCCCACTTTTCAGATGTTTTATACATCAAAGCCATGTTGTGAGGTGGGTACAAAGTGGGACAAAACTATAAGACCCAATGGAAATTTACAAGGTGAGCATGAGGTGAGACAAAACCATGACCAACCAATAAGATTTCCAGTACAGTCACCCAGGTAATATTGATTAGATGGGGATCAAATGGGAAAACAAGTCACGTACAAGGTACTTCCCATTTAGAATATCAATCACTGCTATGTGTCCCCAGGGGAAGTAGTGTCTCCTCTTTTTATAATGCTAACCAGTGCATGTGCCTTAATTGTTCTCCATGTTGGCTCCTTGCTGTGTTGGCTCCTGGAGGGCTGGCGCCTTAAGGGAGGCCCTGTCTAACTGCCAACAAGATATCTAATTAATTTACCTATCTACAATAGTTTCAATAACCAGTAGCACACAAAAAAAGAAAGTAGGCATGAATATACACATATGTCCATGGTAGCATTGTTCACAATAGACAAAAGATGGTAACAAATATGAATCATGAATGTGAATGTGAAAATGGGATGGAGTACACCCCAGTGGAAGAAACACTTGCATTTGTATGGGTCAAGATCTGGTTTCATCTATGGCAGGACCAGGACAAAAAAAAATGTAGAAATGCGTAAGACTGAGTACTATTCAGCCTTAAAAAAAGAAAGGCCAAGGGCTAGGGATTTAGCTCAGTGGTGTTGCACCTGCCTTGAAAGCACAAGGTCCTGAGTTCCATCCTCAGTACCCAAAAAAAAAGGCAATTCAGATATATACATATGTATGTATGTACACTATAACATATATGAATCTTGAGGAAATTATGTGGCATACCTAACAGGAAGACTCAAATTCATAGAAACATAAAGTAGGGCCGGGGATTTAGCTCAGTGGTTCCACCGCCTGCCTCACAAGCACAAGGTCCCAAGTTTGATCCCTGGTACCAAAAAAAAGAAAGAAATATAAAGTAGAATGATGTTTGCTAGCAAGTGACAGAGGAGCTATAGCAACAGTTTCAATAGAGAAAGAATTATAATTAGTCTAACCGAGTCCAAGGTAAGAAGCACCTAATTGTACAGCTACAGAGTCAACTAGTTTTTTATGGGTTTTTTTGGTATCGGGGATCAAACTGGGGTCTTTGCACTGTGCAGCAGGCGGCGAAACCACTGAGCTAAACCCCCAGCCCCTAAACTAGTTTTTTAACACTCCACTGACAATGAAACAAAATTGGAAATGTGGTCACTTCCATTGCGTTTGACCAAACCGAACAGCTACTGCTGGCTGGTGACACCACCTCTCCTTCCCCCAGAACCTTGCTGCTCTTTGTGATTCCCACTCAGAAGCCAGATGTGACTCATACTGTAACTCAAGCGATGTACATGTACATAAACCACGCTTGGACCAGTCCTACCAGACTCTCCCTGACCTACCAAATTGGGTAGAAACAGGTAGCATCCCAGGTGGCCCAGCATTGAGGCACAAGCCTGGAATCTCAGCTACTCACATGGCTGAGGGAGGAGGATCTCAATTCCAGGCCAGCTTGGGAAAATGAGCCAGACCCTAAAATAAAACGGGCTGAGGGTATTGCTCATGGTAGGGCACCCTTTGTTTCCATCTCCAGGTATCTCCCACCCTCAAAAAAGACGTTCTGAGGGCTGGGGATATAGCTCAGTGGCGCTGCGCCTGCCTCGTAAGTGCAAGGTCCTGAGTTCGATCCCCAGTTACGGAAGGGAAAAAAAACATTCTGGTGTTGAATTTTGGCTTCCAGAAAACTATGATCTGAACTTGGATGGCCAATGGCTGGGAGAGGAGCAAGGAGCCTTCCAAAGGAACGGGATTTGTTACACTGCCCAAAGCACATCGTCGCCGTGCTCAATACTTCAAGGGCTCAGATTTGCAATACTTCAGTTCCTTTAAGCGGGGAAGAACACTTAAGGGTAAGAACATTCACCGACAGGTAGGGAAGGGGTCCCTCCAAGAAAGCAATCACGCTCCCCAGGCAAGGAAGCCCTCAGACACCTTGCAAACCGCCTCCCAATCGCCAAGTAACCCCGAAAAGGCGCATTTGCGAAGCAGTCACCTGCTCGGCTCCAAGGCCGCTTCCCCACTCTGCAGCTGAACCGGAGTCCAACCCTTGTCTCTCAGGGCAGCACCCTGCGGGGTGGTTCCTTGCTTACCTTTCCGGGCTGCTTCTCCAACCAGGCCTGCTGTGAAGCGCGTAGGGTCTCCCAGCCTCCTCCACGCTGCAGGTACCTCCACTCTGCAGGTTGGATGCAGGAAGGCGTGGGTGGGTGGGTGCGTGCGGAGACTGGACCTTAACGGTCCTCGCAGGCTTGTGTGGGGGGTGACCCACAATCCCTCGCGAGAGCGGGGAGGGATGCAGGGGAGGGGTACGGCTGGCGAGAAGAGCCAAACGCGTGTGGGCGCAGTGGTGTGAGTCCGTAATCTCACCGCAGGGGCCCGAGGCAAGATGGCGAGTTTGAGGTCAGCCAAGGATATGTACAAAATTCAAGTCCAGGGACGGGGATTTAGCTCAGTGGTTTCGCTGCCTGCTGCGCAAGCTCAAGGACCCGAGTTCAATCTCTGGTACCAAAAACCCCAAAAAAACCAAAACAAAACAAAAAACCACAAACAAAATTCAAGTCCAGCCCGGGCTATGTAGTGTGTTTGAAGCCAGCCTGCGTTAAGTAGTGTGTTCGAGGTTACCTGGACAACGAAGTAAGACCTTGTCTCAGAGAGAAGGTGAGTGGTACAGTTTAATGCTTACATTACATTTTCCTGGACATTTTACACCAAAAAATTGTTGCCTCTCTAGTGTTCCTTTTGCCTCCACTATACTCACTCAGGGAGACCATTCCTATTAATGATTGAGAATACGTGTAGAGCTCTTGGTCCCAAGGTTTTGAATTCCAGGTCTTGTGCTGAGCTACATCTCCAGCAGTTTTGTTTTGTTTTTTTTCTTTTCAAACAGGGCCTTGAATTTGTGATCCTCATCCCTTAGGCTCCGAAGTAGCTGGTGTAGGGAAAGGGCGTCTGTAGGCAGGGTAAGATTAGAATAAGGAGCCTGGGGTGGTGATGCACCTCTATACTCCCAGTGCTTGAGAGGCTGAGACAGGAGGATCACTATGAGTTCAAGGCATGGGTTACATAGTCAACTCAAGGCCAGCTGAGCTACACTGTCTCAAAATAACAAAACCGGGCCAGGGATTTAGCTCAGCGGTTCCACCGCCTGCCTCGCAAGCACAAGGACCTGAGTTCAATCCGCGGTACCAAAAAAACCCAAAAACTAAACAAAATTTTTTTTTAAAAAACAGTAGCATTAGGGCCCCATTAGGCGCTCTGGGTAATCCTGACTAGAAAGAGTTAAAACTTCACCGGAGGGAGCAATTAAAAGACAAGTATATATAGAGAAGAAAAACCGGATAAAGAAAGGTACCAAATGGCATAAGGATGTATATCAGACCAATGGGAGAGCTGATAGGCAGACCACAGAAGAGGCCAGGTACACTGAAACCAAGATAGCTGCCTCTCCTCACCTCCGGTAAAATGCAAAGGAGGCAAAAAGGGGAGGGTGATACCTAATTTAAAAGAAAACTGTTATTGGGCTGGGGATTTAGCCCAGTGGTTCCGTCGCCTGCCTCACAAGCGCAAGGACCTGAGTTCGATCCTCGGTACCAAAAAAAAAAACACCAAAACTGTTATTTAGTATGTAAAATATATACTTAAACTTATGGACATATATACATATATATATTTATACACTCACTATTGCTATACTAGATATAGACACATTCTCTCTCCTTTTTTTTTTTTTGGTACCAGGGATCAAACTAGGGACCTTGTGCTTTCGAGGCAAGTGGTTGAACCACTGAGCTAAATCCCTGGCCCCGAGTCCCATTCTCTTAATCACTAACTCCAAGATGCCTTTTTCTATGAGACTCGTCCTACCTAACCTATGAATCCCAGCGATAAAGCCCTGGCAAGGACAAATGGCTAGGAAGAAGTAAAACAAAGCCCACCAAAAGGAATGTGCATTTAGGCGGGGGTGCCTGGGTCCTGTGGCCTGGGACTCATCCAAGGACAGCTCACAGAGCCAATCAGGTTGTGATAAGTTTCAAGTACCCACTTAGGAGGAAGGGTCCCTAGCACCTAATGAAAGAAGCCAGGGACAAAAGCCCCAAGCACATCCATCCTTTCCCCTACCCCCTCTTCAAGGAAGCTTTCTGTCTTCTGCTTTTCCTTCTTACAAACCAAGCATCTTCCCTTCTTAAACTCTGTCCCATCAATTCATTATTGCCGCTGAGTTTACAGTCCCAGGTGGATGCTCATCCCAGTAGTGCTCAGCCCTGACGTGACACTGGATTACAAGCATGAGCTACCATACCTGGCAGGATGCTCATTTGATGGGGAAGTCCCAGATGAGATTTGGAGTAAATCACAACATGACCCTCTGAACTCTACAAAGGTAACAACTGGGGGTTGCAAGCTGAGGCACACTGGCCCCATCTGCACTTCCTAGGTCTTCTTTATTCTGCCCTCAGGTGCCAGTACAGTCTCCACCAGTATGTTGCCCTCCATGGTGGCTTTTACATAGTAAAAGAGCTCCTTGAGGGCCGGGGATTTAGCTCGGTGGTTTCGCTGCCTGCTGCGTAAGTGCAAGGGCCCAAGTTTGATTCCCGGTACCCCCCAAAAAACCAAAAAAGAGCTCCTTGACTCTACTTGAAAATTGTTTGGGTGTGATAAAGCACACCTGTAATCCAGGCTACTTAGGAGGCTGAAGCAGAAAAATAGTGAACTCAAAGCTGTCCTGGCCAATTTAGCAAGATTATGTCATAGAATTTAAAAAAATAAATAAGATCTGGCTGGTCTTGGTGGTACTCGCCTATAATCCCAGCACTCAGGAGGCTGAGGCAGGAGGATCACCCAAGTTCTTGGCTTGCCTGGGCTACATAGTGAATTCAAGGCCAGTGTGAACTACATAGGGAGACCCTATTCTAAAAAACCAAACGAAACAAAAAACTCAAATAGGCCAAAAGATTAAAAAAAGAAAAGAACACCTCTGTGTTCCATTCCCAGTACTACCAAAAAAAAAAAAATTGTCTGGCTAGAATGTGGTTCTAAAAACATTTATTAAATGCCTGCTGAATGCTTCAAGGGCCATCTCATTCATGCACAAAAGAACCTTTCCTTGGATTATTTCCAATATATAGATGAATGAAACTGTTTCTCATCTTGAGGAGGTTAAGTAACTTTTCATGATAACAAGGTTAGGATATAGTTGGAACCACAATTGGGAACCAGATTATTTAATTTTTCTGTTCCAAGATCCAATGGGATGGGCATTAAACTCCAGAAATGAAGAGTTCACATGGGAAAAGGGGAGTAGAAGCCTCTCTCTCTCTCCCTCTTTCTCTTTCTCTCTCTCTCAAGGGATTGAAGCCAGGGGCCTTCTACCACAGAGCTATATCTCCAGCTCTCCCCACCTTTTATTTTTTTCTTTTGAGACAGGGTCTCTGTAAGTTGTTCAGGCTGACCTCAAACTTCAATCCTCCTGCCTCAGCCTCTGAGGAGGTGGATACCAGTTTTCATATGTAATCCACTGAAAAATCAAAAAGCTCATTTTCTAGAGCACTGCAGGTTATCTCTTGGCAGGACCATTGCATCCTAAGGTACACAAAAGTGATACTAGCTGTGGTCACTGTCCTTGTGCACATAACTCAGGTTCAGACTATGGCTTGTATACTGCTGGCTGCACAAAGCCAGACATACAGTAAAAATCAAGAGCAAAAAACCGGAGTATGTGAAAAATTTGCAGCCTGGCCAGAAAGGAAGAGCATGGAAAGTTGGAACCAGGAACAGCACAGTTGGTGAAGAGATTAGCATAAAAAAGAAGCCAATACTTTGCATCAGGACAATAGGAAATTTTTTTTTTGAGACAGGGTCTCATTATGTAGTTGAGACTGGCCTTGAACTCACTATGCAGCACAGGCTGGCCTTGAACTCACAGTGATCCTCCTGCCACAGCCTCCCCAGTGCTGCGATTACAGGTATGCACCACCAAACTGGACATGGTACAGGACAATAGGAAAGATACCTTGAGGGCATCTCAGGAAATGACCAGAACCCACTCATACATGCTTGAGAGTATAAAATGGTAAAACCTTTGAAAGACTGCTTGAAGAGAACCCCAGGGCACCCAGCTCATTTGGAACCACCTAGGGAAGTGTTTCCCCCAGTGCAGCCATGCACTCACTCCTCTGTGACACCTCTCATGCCAGCCTGCCTTGGAACCAGCCAACTATGGACTGAAACCTCTACAAACTGTAAGCCAAATAAATCTTTCCTCCTTTAACTTTGGGTGTCAGGTGTGTTGTCTCAGCAATGAAAAAAATAACTAAGACATCTTTCCACCATGCCTTTTCTGCCCTGGACCCAGCCACCCATGCCCCGAACTCCCTGAAACCATGAGCCAAATAAACTTCATAGCTCTTGACAGGAAGAGCATGGATTTAACCAATTTGTGGCATGAGAGCTTGAGCTCTTAACCTGTTATGTTACACTTCCTCTCCTAGTATTTGGGCATTCATTTCCTGATCTAATCTCTTGGCAAGGAGATATATAAGATCCTATATGTTAAAGTGTATTTGGATAATTTCTTAATTTTCCTTTATGGCTCATCACATCTGAAATCTTTTTTTTATTTGTTTGTTTGTTTTTGGTACCGGGGATCAAACTCGGGTCCTTCTGCTTGCAAGGCAGGTGGTGCAACCACTGAGCTAAATCCCTGGCCCTACATCTGAAATCTTAAATAGTATGTTCTTTTGTCTTCTTTTGACCTTTATGGAAAATTTTTCTCTCTGAGTTACTTTTTTTCACTTTACACTTTTTAGACCCATTGATTGATTTATATGGGGGGGCAGAAGAGAGACAGAGATATTGAGAGAGGAAAAAGAATTATTACTGCTGGATGACAGCTATATTTGAATATACCACTAATTATTTTTTATTCTGTTGGTGGAGATTCACTCTTTTTTTCCTTATCAATATCCATGTTATTAATCCACCCCACTACCCAATTTTAGGCATCTTCTCTACCTGCACTCATTCATTTAGGAGTCTCATCCAATCACATTGATTTAAATTCCATCTGTATATGATTTTTTGAGTATGTAGCCATTAGCAACATGCATCTATTTGAGTCAATGAAAATTAACAGTTCAGTTTAGTTCCTTGGACAGCCTGGCCATATTTCTTTTTTGTTTTTTTGAGACATGGTCTCACTATGTAGGCCAGGCTGGCCTTGAACTTGTGGTGATCCTCTGGTTCAGCCCCCAAAGGGCTAAGATTACAGGTGTCC